GTTTTCTTTTCCAGATATATGCCCCTCCATAAATACACACCAATATTCATGGCTGGGGCCACACTCCCCTGAAACATAAATATGTTTTCTTCAAACAGCAACAGTTGCTTATAATGCTTTTATGTATCTTTGTTTTTTTTTTTTTTTTTTTTTTAAAAAGCAGGGGGTAGGGGAGAGAGGAAATACAGGACTGTGCCCTGGCCTCTGCAGCCTGCAGAATGAGCTCTCCAGGGGGACATCCTTCCTTTTGATGCCAGGAGGAAGAAGGGAAATAGGTCAGGGCAGCAGCCTGAGTTTTCAGCTGGGGCCGTCCAGCATGAGGATGTCATTTTCCAAGCATCAGCAAAGGGTGACTTCTAAGGTCTCAGGGAGGACAAAGAGATCATCTAGAAAGGCCTTGGAAATGATCACCAAAACCCCATGTATCCCCCTGTCCCCCTGGGAACTGCACATCCTACAGCTTAGAACTGTGAAGAGTTAAACTGTGACACTGATCTCTTTTAATAACATAGTATCTTGCATCTCCTCTGAAAGTTCAGGTTTCCCCAACATAGCAGCAATCACAGTGCTATGCATGTAGCAACTGGTTGGGAACTGTGTGCTGGCTAGCTGGCCTTCTGGAAGAAGGTGCCAAGAGATCCCAAATGACTGTCTTTTATTATTATTATTATTAATAATTAATTAATTAATTTATTTTGACCGGTAAGGAGATTGCAACTGTCAGCACAGTGTCGTCCGCACCATGCTCAACCAGTGAGTGCACCGGCCATCCCTATATAGGATCTGAACCTGTGGCCTTGGCGCTACCAGTGCCGCACTCTCCCGAGTGAGCCACGGGGACAGCCCCCAAATGACTGTCTTAGTCACAACAAGGGCCTCAAAAGGGAGAGAATGGTTTCAGATTGCTAGATCAATGTTTCAGAGAGGAATACAAAGGCAGGAAAGAATCACGTACCCAGGACCACATGATACCTGGGGTGTGAAAACCTAGGAGTTTGCACTTTTAAGCCAGTTACCTACCCATTAGCTAATGCTATTTCTCATCACTGCTTCTGGGAAGATGCTAGCAATGGGCAAATTCCCCATCTGGGAAATTACAGATCTTCCTGTCCTTGGCAGCGTGGCAGGGAATTGCCTTAAAGAGGCAGCTGTGTTGGGGGGGAGGTGGGGAAGGAGGTCATCAAGTACATGCTATCCAATGGGACACAGCACTTGCAGTTCAGAGTAACAACTATAGCAAAAATATAATAATCTCATGTTGTGTAGTTCAGAAGCAGCCTAGCCTCAATGGCAGGGGACAAGAGAGCCAACTCACACTTTCAGGACTGTAACAAGCCTTTTAAACCCATTCAGCATACCCTATACAGCAGGGGTCAGCAAGACTTTTTGGAAAAGAAACATATAGTAACTATTTTAGGCTTTGTGGGCCATATAACCTCCGTTATAACTACTTACCTCTGTTGTTATACTGTGAAAGCAGTCATAAACATTACATAAAAGAATTAGAGTGGCTGTGTTTCAATAAAACTTTATTTGTAAGAACTAGCATTGGGCCAGATCTGCCCACCTCTGCTATATACCAATTAGTTGGTCTGGGATGAAATGTTGAATTTATTCAATTTCCTTTGAGTAAAGGTAAGTTTTAAGTTCTTTGAGAGTTCCTTGGTTGCTTTGGGCTTCAAGGTCACAAAAAGAATCAGGTAACAACATAATGTCTAACTTACTGTTCTTCTTGCCCTGGGACTGGCGGCACCACCAGCATGCCCAGACCACTGACCTGGAACAGTTTTCCCAGACTTCCAACTCTGGGAGGAACAAAAGCCAACAGGAACTAATGGCTGAGGAGAAGCACCATGTAGAAACATGGAGAAAAAGAAGAAATGCAATCAAAGGTGGCAGGAGAGACACTCAGAAAAATGGAGCTGAGTGGTGGCCAGAAATGTCAGTAGATCCATGCTGACCAGGGTCTTTGTAAAACAAATTTAAGGAAAGCAGTGTTATCAGGTCTCAAGATAATGGAGGCCATCTGAAAATGTAGAGAAAGGACTTGTCTGACACTTGCAGGCTCCACATGAGGACATGGGATGGAAAGACTACAATTCTCTCTTAACCCAAACTAGAGGAAAGACACATAGGAATTCCTGCACTGCCCAGCCAAAGCCAGGACAATCCACTTAATAAACATGGCACCATTTTAAATGCCAGGCACCCTACACACCATCTTCTTGTTCTTTGCTTGGCAGGGGTCTGACATAGGGGCAGTAAACATTACACAGTCCTTCCCTCCTGATATATCCTTCTTGATTCAGTTCATGGTTTCACAGAGGGGAGTCCATCTCAGTGCCTGAGCCTCTGTGGGATCACTCAGAAGGGCTCAGCAAGTGCTTTGAAATCATGAAATCTGTGTGGTTCTCCTTTTTTACGATAATGCAGATTTACAGTAATGGGGAAAGCATGTAGGGGGCAGAGAAATCCTGGCTAAAATTTTTTAAAAATGAACACACATTTTAAAATTTCAAAGGAAGGGATGAGGCATGGCTAAGGACAATGATACCTTTAAAATACCTTATTATCTGAGGTAAATGTGATTGTCAAAGGAAGAAGTGCAAGGTACAAAAAACCCGTTCCACTGGCCACCCTGGCAGCAGCTCGGCTGTAGAAGAGATCCCAGAGTGCAACGCGGCACACCGGAGACTGCCCCGAAGGTAAGAGCTACTTGAGGTGGGAGGCTGTGGCCCACATTTGGGTCCTTTAAGGGCGGGAAGGACCTCTGCAGCCAGGAATACCAATCCATTAGACTTTTCTCCTTTGCTAGATCCTTGTGGGTGGGGGCAGGAGGACAAAGAGAAACATTCCCCAATATGATTTATGAAATAAAAATGAAGGTACTGCACAGATAAAAGTAGATGAATAAACCTTTAACAAAACAAAAATATCTCTTCATTCCTACACTGTTCAGAAAACAATTTTCATCATTGTCTGAAGGGAAGCACCCAGGAGAGTAGGCCATAACTGGTTCATTTAGTCAAAATCTTAAGTTATTTGTAGTGTAGGCCATACTTGTATTTCCTCTGGATAAAGACCTTTCAAAACAGCCAACCCAAGTAATCACATAATCAGCTAAGAAAATGAGGAGAATTTCTTTTTCAGGAGACCCTCAACAAAGAGCTATAAAAGATTGGGCAACTACAATCAAGAAAGATACATACCAACTTTGGATTGGATTAAGGATCTGTGAATTCAGGGGTATCGAAGGTGGGGAAAAACTACATGTTTTTCAATAGTCAAATATTAGCAATATATAAAGGGAAGGTCACAATAAGCATGAGAGAGTAAAAAATCTTTGGGCCACTCACTCCTTTTAGTGGTCAGTATTGTCTTTGACCCCCTTGTACTTTTGGATATCACCTGTGGAACAGAAACATGATCAAGAAGATTTTAAAGTGGCTGGGAAAACAAGAGGTAAAAAAGAAAGGGAAGTAAACTTTAGGAGATGTGAAACAACAGAAGATGACTGGTGAGAAATCTGATTGAGAGAGCAAGTAATGAGAATGCCACCACCCAGTGTCTTAGGCAATCCAATGAAGGGATTTCCTCCCTCTGTCCAAAGCACAGCAAACCTCTGTAATGCCTGCAAGTCATGAACTTGCATGGATTCACTTGCTTCTTCCAACAGAGTTACTCTATATTCATTATCCAAAGGCCCACCAAGTCAGAGGGAGACTCTACAATATTTTCCCCTTCTACCTAATCCCTGGGCCACTTCTAAAATTGCAACAGGTACTGACACACAACTGGAGTGTTTGAATTCTTGAAATATTTCTCTAGCAGGGGGCTATCTTTAATTGATAAAAATTCAAGCTACATTGTGGAATTACAAAATGGGAGGTGGCGAGACTGCACGTCAATACAAGGATTTCTACTTCACAAACATAAATGCATCTTAAGAAAAGCAAAATAGAGGGCAATGTGAATCTGATGATACAATTGAGCTTTGCAGCACCCCCCTCCCCAACCACTGTGTGGATGGCCAACAAAGCAGATGTAATGTGTGAAAGGTGCACATTAGGTGGGAGCTGGTGATTCAAATCAAAATGAGATGCTGACGCCTATAAACAGGTATTTGTATCACTGAACATCCTGCAGTCAAATGCTCTACCCCTGAGCTATGCCCCCTCCTATCACTGAACATCCTGAAGAAGCCTATGCATCTGCTCTCAAGGATCTATAAAGAACCATGAGAGAGAAGCTCTGGAACGCCATAATCTTGTAGCCCTGTGTATATGATGATACTGCATGGAAGCTAGAGGGACTCTATGGATTTGACCATAAAAGAAGCGAGGACAAAGGCAGAGCCCGAATCCTAAGCCTGAGCCTAGCACACTTGCCCTCTGGTCCTTTCTTGTGTCCACCAAGCAGGATGAATGGCCAGCATACTCCTGGAAAGAAGATGGATTTGTTGACAAAGACTTGAGTAAAATGCGCAGGTAGAAGGGCACCATAGCAGCTGAGAGCCTGACTCCTGCCTGCAAGAGCCAGCCCAACAGGCAGAAACAGAAATACAATTAAATTAAATCAGAAAACCCGCTACAGAAAACACAATTACTCAAAGATACAAATAAATGTTCAAAGAAAATTGGCCCCTGACAGGGTTAGTCAAGCTTCCAAATCCAGCTACAGGCAGGTAGCTCAGGCTAATTCACCATGGAGGAGGACTGCAAAGCTGTGAGCATTCTGCATTAGGATCCTAGCTGGGTTGGCCTGGTGTTCACTGTACATCCCAGACCAGTGGAGAAGAGGAGCAATTTGAGGGCAGCTGGCCAATGACCCAGGGCTCAAGGAAATAAGATGTGCACAGACACAAGAATGGATCATGAATGTGCAGTGCTGAGCCCTGTAAAAAGCGACAGACTGATCTTTGAAATGGCAGAAAAGCATCGGATCATGGGAACCCCATTTTCTCACCCCTCCCTATACGAGAAGCAATAGGAAGACCCTACCTCTCGTTGCAGAACCAGTTCTTTGGTGAAAAGCGTGGCTTCCTCGCTGAAGGGCTCTCCTTCCTGCACCAAGCCTGGGAGGTTTCGGGCCCCTCTGGGGCATTCGATGCCTGTGTCAGGAGAAAAAGAGAATTTGTGATGAAAAGGGGCTCACTAGGCCTGCTGCCCAGCAAGGACGGTTCCGATACTTCCAACGCTACAGACGTTAGATCTGAATCCCATCCTGAGATTAAGGTAGAGGCAGTGGGAGAAGCCAACATGATCACAGCTGCAACAATGGAGAGGGGCTCTCAGCCCACAGCATCTGGGAATTGTCCAGAGCACCTGGGGAAAAGGAGTGTTCCAAATAAGAAGTGCAGGGGCTGGCCGGTTAGTTCAGTTGGTTATGGTCATGGGTTTGGATCCCCTTACTGGCCAGCCACAAAAAAATAAAATAAAAAAAGGAAGTGCAGAACCCCCCCCCCCCCCCCCGCCCGCCATGATTTGGGACGAATCCTGATCTTGTACTCCTCCCTCCTTCCAGTCCCATAGTCTTGCAGCTTTGGCCATCACTTACACAAATGGCACTCACCTCAATTATACTGATATCCCAGGTATTTGGCCTCCTGAGAGCCAATTTTAGCTGACTCCTAGACATTTTCTCCTTACAATCAGACTTTCACATCAAATTCAAAAGGGTTAATTCAGTGTAATTTTCCTCTTCGAATAAGCTTCTCCCTCTCTCCAGTTATATAGTACCATCAGTACCATCAGTTTTTCATTCAGAATAAGAGACAGAAAAAAGCAGAATACTGATGTAGTATTAGGTGTCTGGAACCAGAGAAACCTGGATTCACATGCTAACTCTATCACTTATTAGCTTTGTGACCTTGGCCAAATTATTGAACAAAGGCTCAGTTTTCCTATTTGTAAAACATATAATAATATATCTACTTCATAAGGTTGCTTTGTGAACTCTAGGAGAGATTGTGTATGTAAAATATTTACAACAATGCTGCCACATGGAAAGGTTCTATATATTTTAGTTATTGTTAATATCATCTTTAACATCATCACTCTTAGAAATTCCCATGCTCAAAATCCCAGAATCATCTTTGACCCCACAACTAGTGTGTAGGATCCCTGAGGACAGAATCCTATCCTCCATACTTCTTCATATCCAATGACAGTATTGTGTACAAAATAAGTGCTCAGTAAGCATCTTAGACTGCCTTTTCTTTCTTTGACTCAGTCATTCATTTTGCAAATATATTTTTGACTAACAGTGGCCATCTGTGACAGACCAGGAAATATGTCACATTCATATATTTGAGTAAGATTTATAAATATTTCAAACAAATTTATACTGCAGGTGTAACTATGAGGCAAAAAGTTGAACTGGTCTAGAGACATAGGAAAAGAAAACCATGGAGTGGAGGATGCATTTAGTGTCCATACCTCTGAATTACTGGTGGTCTCTCCTGCTTCAATAAGGCAGAATTGGGGGGTACTAACTTACAAACAGTATCTAATTTTCTGTTTGTTTGTTTGTTTATGTATGTATGTATGTATGTATTCATTCATTCATTCATTCATTCATTTAAAAAAGATGACTGGTAAGGGGATCTGAACCCTTGGCCTCGGTGTTATCAACACCACACTCTCCCAAGTGAGCCACGGGCTGGCCCCTTCCTCTAATTTATAAACAGCATTAGGAGACGGCACAAGATATCTGGCATGGGGAGGCCAGAAGCAGGGCATCCAGGCAACAGCAAATACCTGCTGGGGAGCCACTGGGAGAAGAGATCCCACTGCTGCTGAGATAGAAGGTACAACTCTTTATGGATAAAGCTAGGTGGCTGCTCATGTTTCTGACTAGGGCATAGATTCCAGATTGCAAAGCTCAAAAGAAAAGGAATAGTCTATCTCTTGGGTTTTCAGAAGATGAAGAACAGAGCTTTCTCTCTGAGCTTCAAGGCCTCATGAATGGAATACATTTTACCAAATAAAATGTTGGGTGGGAAATGTAGCTTGAGATGGTGGCAAGGACCATTGTCCCACCCTTGCAAAGATGGGACAGCTGAAGGCCATTCAAGTGTCACATGGGTAAAAAAGATCACCAGGACTGCCTCATTCCTGGCACTTCAGTGCCAGGCTGCAGGAAGGGTGAAACTTATTTTTGTGAAAGACAGCAATAAACTCATGAGTCAAAGACTCAGAGATTAACCCTGCAGGGAGAGATGAGGCTAGAGTAAAATGGAATGAAAGATAGCCCATGTTTTCTTAAAACATCAATAGCCAAAAACACTTTTCATTTTATATCTGCAAACTAAGCAAGAACAGCATTGTCAGAGAGAAAATAAACAATTCTATTGAACTATTTTGCCACATAACCATAGATACACCATTGTTGCAGAAACAGGAATAATGCTAAAACAAGTGTTCAATTTGTTTCTAACCCTTAGCAGCTACTTGGGAGGGACAGAACTGGGGTGCTGTTGGGTGGGAGTGTATGAACTGGGGACCGGAACTGGGAAACACTAGGGTAATGCAATGGGCAACAGGGACTGGGGAGATTAAGAAGACACAGAGATTTCTGAGTCTCAGTGGTTGAGTACCTGCTCTACTCCCCTGTCACTTTCTTGGTACTCTGAAATGTCAAGAAATTGGTCAAGCTATAGAGATCTAAGCAGCTCTCTCTGAATCCTGGAGACCACCAAGTGATGAAACTGAGAAACCATGATGCCTTGATGGGCTCAGGGAGTTAAACAAATCAAGCAGAAAGGTATTCAAAACATTTTCACAAGAGAGTCCTTTGGGCCCATGGAAGCCAACCCCCAACCACTCTATGTAGATGAAAAGGCAAAAGAGAGCCTTTGTCACGTGGCTCTCTCTACCTCCCAGCAGCCAGCTCCAGTTCAACAAGAGGAGGAAGCTGACGGAGGCTGTTTCTCTGCCCTTCTAAAGTGGAAATAAGTAAGTGGGTAAGATAAAAGAAAGAAACTTCTCTTTGACCTATCTTCTCTGAAGTAACCCTTCCAAAGGGACAAGAGAGTGGGTGGGCGAAGGGCTAGGCAGAATACCAAAACGGGGAGCGGGCGGAGGGAGGCAGAATCTATTACCAGACCAAGGTTCAAAGTCAGGGCCCGGCTAGCAGGAAAGGTTTTATGATATCTGAATGGTTGAGTGTTAGAAATCTGCTGAGCCAAGCTACATCTGCAAAGAATAACGCAGATGAGTGTTTTTCAAACTTTTTATTTTTACTATGTTCCACAGACACGTTTATATATGAGTATATATAAATACATCCAACAAAGTTTCAACAAAACAATGGTTAACCTTGACTATATGTGTCACACTAATAGTCTCTCTTCTGTTCCATTTCATTAAAGAAAGAAAGAAGATAGCTATGGCACTGAATTGATTTAAGACCTCTACGGAGCGTAACACACAACCTGAAAAACACAGGTACAGACTGAGGTGTGAACATAGAAGGCTGGAAGGATGGGGCAGGTCCTGATGGCCTGTTTGGAGAGTTCAAAAGCTGCTCTAGCTCAGGGTTTATCCATTTCCAGACTTGCTTTTGTGTCCTAAGGGATCAAGGAACAGGGCAAGAAATATGCCATCCACTGACAGGAGAGCACATAGATGTCAACATCCTAAAGCCAGAAAGTAAGTTGCTGCTGCTGAAAACCAGGTGCAGACACATGCCGGCAGTGAGAAGAGTTCTGCTGTGTCCTCCTCTCCCAAGAACACAGGGAGCAAGACCACCCAGTCCACATCAAATAGTGCCTGCCCTGCTGGACCGGTGTCCCTGCTGTGTCGCTTTCTTACCATAAAATAGGCTGTAAAGAAACTAAAGAAAGTTGGGTTCTCAGAAAGCAAACCTGAGGCTGCTGTTGCTGAGCTGGGCAGCCTGACAGGCAGCAACAGAGAGCTCCCAAGCCATGGAGGGGCTCCGACTGTGACTACAAAGTGAGGTATCACCGAGTTCCAGAAGCTCTCCCCAGCCAGGTAAGGAAGTGCCTGTAATTCTGGATGCTGCCTATTACCACTAATAGCCATCTTCCCCGATAACGCACTGGTGCAGGGCTGCCTGCTGATAAGGATGTATTAACTCAGCTATGCTTCAAATGCCACAGACACAAGTTAAGTGCCAAGCTTACGCCTGACACAAGCCATTCAAGAAGCAAAAATATTATGTTTTAGTTAAAAAACCACTACACCTCAAAAAAATCCCAAACATTCTTGAGATTTTTCATTCCCTATTATGGGGTGTGCCAGAACAAAGAGAGACTCCCACTATGGAGCCTTCTTGGCTGACTTCCCAGATAGCACATACAGAGGGGCAAGCAAGACACATGCTTCCTCCTGCTCCATTAGTTCTCCAACCTCTTTAAAACCATCTGCCTATAGGTAAAAAATTATTTTCCACATCTTTTCTAGGCTTTCTGGGATATGAATGGTTGACCAAGACTACTTAAAACAAAACAAAAAAAGAAGATTTTGCTTGATTTTGCATGGTTTAGTAAAAGACAGTTCATTATTAGCTGTCAGCACATTATGGTGCTGGTTACTGCTCTGCCACTGACAAAGTATTAAGCTTCTCTAGGCATCGTGGTCTCTGTCTATAAAATGAATGATCTGCAAAGTCTCGTCCGGCCATAAAATCCTACAATTTTGTTTATGCCCTTTTGAGATTCCTCGCCCAATGCCCGACTCATGGAACACAGGGTGCCTCCTTTCAAACTTAAAATGCTGGGCTATGGAGCAATCATTCTATTAAAAAAAATTACATACTTAGAGATATTGACTAACTAGGTCAATTAACACAAACACTTTGGTCAGTCAGCTTGGGAACAAGGAGTACAAATTCTTGTTAATGACAAGATAATGGCTATATAAAAGATTCTATTGATGGCTATGTGAGTTATATATCACTCTGAATATTTTACACTGTATGTTGAGTTTTATGATAATTAAGCCTCAGGACTCCAAGCATGTTCGCTTTTTCCTTTATTGGTTAGTGTGGGCTAGCTAAGGGGAAGTGTGGCAAATCTGCCTTGCCTAGCCGTAAGTGACAGCTTCCCAATGGCACTTAATCCAGCAAACAAGGGACCAGGCATTAGCT